TTTTCATTCCTCCCAGGATCCTTTCAGAAGCAAACAGCACATTTTTGTCAGTTCTCAATCAATAAGGATTTTACTCTTCCACCCATTCCTCTCTTTCTTTCTCTCCCTTCATATCCAGGTTTTCCTTTCATCCTTGGTGCAAGACAAGGGATCAACTTGCCAAGAATTAGTTGCTGATACCCAAGAGCCTGGATTTGGGCCCACTAAGTTATGGGAAGGGAGTGTAATGTTAATGAGTCAGTGTGGATCTGTTACCTCTAGTTCCCAAGTGCTGCTTTGCTGCCTAGATAAAGAGTTAGAGACTAGAGCACAAACCTGTGTTACTGTTGATGTGTTGCAGGTGATTGTTTAGTAGTTGTTGAAAATGTGTTCATTTTATTCTGAGTGTTTAATTAGAGTGGTTGTACAATAAGTACAGGATTATCTCTCCCAGTGGCTCGGATATTGTGACAGTGTTCCTGAAAAAATACTACAGATTTCTGTAAGAGTAGATTGGATCTTAAGTGGTGAAATTTTTATTTGCTTTCATCAGCCATACTGCTTAATTCAAGATTCTAAACTGAGTTCTTTACACAGCCAGGTGCACAATCCTCCTCGAGATGCATTTAATGAGGGAAGAATACCTTGTATTAAATTGTGTTGTGTTCTCCAGCTATCAAAATCTTCCAGGGGCTCAGAAAAAAAGAAATTATTTTCAAAAGCAGAAGCTAGTGTTTAGTTTCAAATTGCAAAGATCCAAGAAATGCTGACAAAGTTTTCAGAAAGGTAGAGCACTTGCAGCTTAAAGTAATTTTCCCCTGTGAGATCAAGTCCATCTGCTTCAAGTCAGATACCCAAGAATCAAAGTTTCCACAATTCATTATGAAAAGCTGGGATTAAACCACTGGAGAGCTTTGAAAAGTCCCAGCAAGAGTGTTTACAGATTTAAGTGCTTTTCTGAGTATTTGAATCTAAGATTTATTTGCATATACATGTTATAGGCACTTCTCCTCCATGTAATCCATTTTCATGCTGCTATTTCCAGTCCCCATTATCTGTGTAGCTGATTAAAATGCTTCCATTGAATACTTGTAGCAGTGAAATTGATGGAACGTGGTCTAACCTGTCTTCCCTCCCCTTCTTCCTCAGTAGAATTTCTCTGTATATTCTGACTCATAACCTTATGAATTTTCTCCCCATTTCAGACTTTTAATACGAAATTATTTATTTTCAGAGTTTATTTGCTTACCTCCGTTTTTTTTGTAGTTTTCTGTATTTTTCACTCAGCTTCTGCTCTGTAGGTGCTTAGACATAGCCTTAGTTCCATGTGAACACCTAGCCTGCACATCAGACCACTGAACCCTCTTAGCATTGCTGAGCAATTAATGAGATCCTTTTTTCAGCTTTAATGAAGAATTCCAGTCCTGTCCTTAGTTTGCCAGACAAGAACAGATTAGAAAGAAGTCTGCTTTTTCATTGAGGCTTATTTTCCTATCTAATACACAACATATGAGTAATTTTCACATTCAACTGTTTTTGGTACCAAAAGCACTCTTTTTGGCCTTGTTTCCTTCCTGACTTCTGCAAGAGTGGACTAGCTCATCTGTAATGCTGCTTTTTTTACTTGACTTCTGTGGAAGTTCCCAGAGATTAATTTAGTCCAGTTAATAGAAATAGAAACCTGCAGAAGCTTCATTTACATTCCTGTAGCATTTAAAATTTTAGACATAGAGACAGTTGTGTGTAAACAATGGTAACTTTATATATAGGAGCTGTTGATTTCAAGTTTGAATTCGATATAATGGTTAGAACTGCAGTAAGCACTGGTGAAGCAGAACAGTGCTAACTCCACCTCTTTTTTGGTATGATGAGAGTGTCCCCTTGAACTGTTAAAGTGGGATGTTACTGTGACAAATAGAGCTACCACTGGCAGAACAAATTGCACAAAGCTGAGACTGAAGAGTTCTACCTGACAGAAGCAATAGTATGATGGGGGTTTTGCAAACTGAAAAACATTTTCTTTTTCTGGTGTTCATGCCATAAACAGAAGACAGTGTAAAAACAGAGCTGTATAGGAAGGTTATAAAACATCAACTTCTGCCGTGTAAGAAGGCAAAAATAAAAAGGCAGAAGTACTATGAAATACCCCTACAGTATTAAAGCCAGTGTATTAGAAATCACAGGTTGATTTTTGACCAATGCTGTTACACACATAATTCATTACCACTAAATGTTGTATTGTGGATTTGTTGTCTGTACATATTTCATGTTAGTACTACTTGAACTGGTTTTATGTTGCTGGAAAGGGTTGTGGCAAATGTGGTTGTTTATTTAGAAGCCGAGACCAATGTCCATAACCTCTCCGGTGAGCTGTGTGCTGCTCTGGAGCCCGTG